CTCTCTAGGGTAGTAGGCTTTTTTTTTCATTACTCTTGTTGGGCCACTGTACCCGTCTCAGTTAGTATGGTAAATACTGCTATAATATCCTTGCCGACATTTAACCGGCGCATCCTCTACTGTAGCAACGCCAAGACCCAAGTAGCATCAACTCCTTCACTTTAATCCGTACATCGCCATCAGACGTTTTCCGTGTTTCGGCCATTTGGCCAAAACAGTGCAAGGATAGCGGCATATACATCCAGACTGACTTACGGGTCTTTTCGCAAGCTCTTTTTGCTACGAGTCATGTCAAACTAGCCTCCCTCGCGCTCAAATTCATTTTCTTAGGCATGATAGGAAGTCTTCGGTCGGCACTCTCCTCTATGGAGGATGCCGTTAATAAGTTTTGTAAGTCGTTAAATTACGTTTTTGTGATCAAAATTCTGATTGTCCAGTTCGTCATGATCGCACTGCCGCGCAAGATCAAGGAAACCCTCTCAGCGCAAAGCGCCTCAAGCTCAGCACTGCACCAGTTAAGAGCAACAGAGACAGCTACGAGGAAGCCAAGGTAGCATTATCTCATGAAGGCTCGGATTCGGAATCAGATGTGCTCGAAAATCGCCGCGCTGGCGATGAGAGCGCGGGCAGCCATGCGCTACCTTCACCAGTACTTTCACCAATGACGCGCGACGTGTGTCGGCCACACAGCAAAAAGCACAGATTTCTCGACAAGTTTCGCTCATACCCGTTTCAAATCTCACCAGGGCCGAGTATTGACGCGGCCTTCGACACAATGCGCACGAGACCATTAGCCAGAGACATCTTCAAAGCGCGACGGCGGGCTGCCTCACGTCAGGCGCCAAAACGGCCTGGGAGGTCACGGCTGCCCATGCCTGTGAGATTTGCAGACCGGGTGGAGAGGCCAGCGCGTTCTAAGCCGGCTAGTCTAGTCGCAGATGAACTTACTGATTTCAAAAATCTTTCTCTCGAGACGGAACCCATAGTTTCAAGAGCAGCGGAGAAGAGATTTGCCGATCGACTTCTCTCTGTATCGGAGACATACGGCTATGTGCCAAGCTATTCAAAAACGCGCGATGAAGCTCCGGTCAACCACGATGACCAAATCGATGCCATTCTGGGTGGAAAGCAGCTATGGCAACTTGAGCTCAGCACCGCGGTAGAAGAGAGCATCCAGGCGCAGCGCAAGACGCAGATCTCCGATGTACAAATAACACGCGACTACATCACAAATCTACAGCTTCACGGCGTTCGTGCTCCTTGCCGTCCATTGTTGCTCTCGTTGTCCGATCATATGTGCAAACGAACTATCAGCACCGTGCATGCAAATCCAGATGCCGTGCTTGCAAAAGCGGCTGATTCAACCCCGCTGCGCCGCCATGACTTTCGCAAGGTCATACCGAAAACGGAGTGGCTTAACGATGAGATTGTCAATGGAGTTTTGTCCTGGCTGGACCAGGCGGTCAATCACATTGGCGGCGTCGACGACCCCAAGACGCAAACCAGGAAATGCCTGATCATGACATCATTTTATTATAAGCAAATTAAAACGGCCTGCAAAAATACCCAGAGAACGCTGAAGCGAAAGGGAATCACGAAAGATAATTTGCTCGAGGTCAACACGATTTTGCTACCAATCTGCGAGCACTCTCATTGGACGTTGATGGTCATTAACCCGTCGAAGAAGACGGTGGCTCATGTCGATTCATTAAATCCGCGCGGGACAAAAACGGTCGTAGACCTTGCTTTGAGGTGGATGAAGGACGCATTGGATGAAAGGTTTGTGTCCGAAGAGTGGTCAACGATCAAGTATGACCACCCCGCGCAGACGAACGGGTACGACTGCGGTGTACACACGATATGTAACGCAATCTGCCTTGCTGTTGGAGTCGACCCATCTGAGGCTTATAAAGCTGCGGAAATGCCTGCACTGCGACTGCAAATGTCGGCGGTACTGGTGAATGGCGGATTTAACGGCGAGCTGGATCTCTTGGGATTTTGAAACCACGCCTGCGCGGCAAGGCATTAGAGCTATGTTCCTGTGTTACACTATCTGCTCCTCAGCATTGATATCCCTGTGTTTCTATTGAATATATATCCGCAAATTCTTGAGCAGGCATCGCCTGCAATTCGCTATGCCCGTCTGCAGTAGTCAACGTTCTTAGCAGACACACTCGCTGACAAGTCAAATCCCGAGAGCAAGGGTTTCAGTGGCCGCCTGGGTTGACACCCGGAAAGCAGAACAGCTTCAGTATCCGCAGATAGCCGGGTGTCCAGATTGAAGTACTTGAGCGAGACAGCGTACGAGCTCTGGTTGGTGGGAGATTGGTGGTGCACCCAAATTTCACCGCAGTGAGAGAACACGATGGATCTTAGCTTCAGCCCGGTGCAATGCAAAAGCTGTTTTTCTTCTGCAATACCTGGGATGGCTGTCAAGCTTCTCATTGGCGCAGTGTGTATGGGCAAAGGATCTCGACAGTCACTGCGGGTCGTGCAGATCTTCGGATCCGACTCGTCGGCTTGATGTACCTGACATTGATGCGTTGTCTTTTTTATACGCAGAGTGGCGGCGCAGAAAGGTTCAAATATAAGGCGATAACTTTGAGAAAGAAGAGCTTAGAAATGGGACCTATACAAGCTGTAGAAGCTGGCTCATATTCAATTTCCTCTCTCCCCTTTGACGGCACGCTCTTCGATACACACGAGACAAATTCGCTCAGCATCAAGTTCACTTCTGACACCCTTTCTCCGGCTTGGTCGCCATCGGGGTCGGAAATGCAGAGAAATTCTACTGGCGCTGGTCTATTCAATTTCGTTTCACGTATTGATGGCATCGGTTTGGTGTCCCCTTTGACACGGATATGGAGCCTCAGTGGACAGTAAATTACCGCGAGCCTTTCATCAAACCGCTCTTGGACGCAAATGACCTGCTGCAGAAGCTCTTACAACAAAAGATTCCGGTAGCCATGTCAGCAACAACGGTGTGGCCGCTGTTATGACAGCGCTTGAGGAGAACGGGCTGGCCGATTTCGTGCCGCCAGAACTGGACACAGCACGCCAGGGCTTACACAGAACTCGGACCTCTGAGGCTACGAGGCGTTCTTTTACCGGCAACGAAGCGGATGTATGGCGTCGCGGCTCTGGAGGCCAGCACGGTGCTGGAAATCGGCGATGCTGACTGCTGCAGATATCCGATCCGTGGGAAACATTTGGGCGACGTCGTGCTGGCGCCGGTTTGGATATGGAGACACGAGCGTGCGAGGAGCTGGATTCAGAATATGTAATTGATTTTCGGATGCCTTGTGAAAAGAGGAAGTCATGTGGCAGTCCGGTGCTTTCAACTGCTCATGCGCGACGTGCTATGAATTGGCTTTGAAGTTGCCCCTGTAAGCTCGACTGTACTACCAAGTGGGTGACAAAAAAGCTGGCCCATTCGCCAAGGCGTCTACATCATACTCAGCGAAAGCTATATAGAATAGAAAATAAGTAGAAAAATCTAAAAACTTTCTTAAATGCACAGGATATAATTTCATCACTAAAGTCTAATCTTACTATTATATAAAATGAATATATATTTCCTAAAGTTTATAGAGAGTTGATTAAATCTAGGTAGCTGCTAAACTTCGGTACCCTCATTATGGGCCATTTATTTTGTCACCCGCATGAACTACGTACGTTTGCATGAAATCTGAGACATGGTTCGAAGAAGGAACGACACAAACCACCAGGTCGATGTTGCCTGAGCTGCTGCACGCGCGCGGGGGGCTGTCGAAGCCGAAGAGGCAACCAAGATCATTGCATGTCGACTTCGCATGAGTCAAGCTATTAGCGACTAAATCTGTACACATTACACACTAGGACTAGGCAGCAGTCCAGACCGGAGTGACCGCCTGCGCTGAGCATTTGGAGTCTCATTGGGAACAGCGCTGTTTTTAGGTGGTGGCGTCGTTCAATAGCGCCGGCCACAATCGAGAAAAAAGCCTCTTCGTGCGTTGGCTCGTGTGCTCTCTCCTTGTTTCCTGGCTTAATTAATCCCAATTAATTAACCAAACCCAGTTTCGCGCAGAAAATACCGATTTATTGATACCAGTAAGAAGAGGGCCGGCACCCACTTTGCCGGCAACTAATTTGCCACCATCTCGGACTATTTCAGCCAGCGCCGATGCGGAGTCAATTCTTACTTGCTTTTAACATGATCTGAAACGGGCTTCTGGGGTCGGTGGGGAGCGCCGCGAGCTTCCCGTTTCTGGATTTTGTGATGTGGCTCGCTAATTGCCGAAAACGATAGAGAAGCCTTTGTTGCAAGGCAGCCCAGTGAAGCAAGCGTCCAACCGACCGGATCGATTCCTGTTCTTGTTGCATGGCCGTCACCAGTACAGCCAGAGTTGCGAGTCAATGTCCTTCTTCGTACTGTGAGACCGGCTGCAAGTCACGTCTCAGAGCGTAAGGCAAACTGCTCATCAAAAACTTGTTAGAAGATGAAAGAAAAATCTTTGCTGCACAGGAGATCAGGACTACCCAAGTGTCTTTAAGCGTGTGGCAGCCAATGTAACTCGCAGACACTATGTGTTGCCATGCGATTAAGCCCTCGACAAATGCCGAGCCCAGATGACATGCCAATACTGAGAATAACTATTTTTCCTATTAAGCTGCGAGTTTGACTTCCCGATGAAGCTGCTCATACTCGACGAGTGGCCTCGTTGTGACGTAGTGATGGTGCGATGTTACTGGCACGGGTGCACTGGGTGCACACCATGCAGTTCCGTATCACGACCGCGCCACTGTGATTTCTGTTTTCGTTTCGAGCGACCTTTCGGCGTGAACTTCTCTGCATGACAAGTCTCTGCATGACAAGGGGAAACGCCTCCTGCGAACATATGCATTACATCGCAGTCATGAACTGTTGTGGCAACATTGTGACTAAAAGGTTTCTTCAGTAAATATATACTTGCAAATTGCCATGATTCAATTCACTTAGTTGTGCGACTACTCGTCAAAGCTCGACTTGCCCACCTTCGTTCGTTTCAATGCATCTATTGTTGATTTGGTATACCCTTGGGCAGACTTGTCATTGAAAAAAATTGGACGAAGTGCCAGGCAGCCAGGTTAACTGGAACGAACCATGTTCTTAGCACGGTGGCTCAGACGCACCACAATTGGCTCAGTTCCACATTGGGCCGCGCAGGTATTCAGGCGCCGTGGTGTGCCAGCAAATGAGAATGCTCAGCAATGTGTGTGATCAGCGTCCCTTCGGCGTAGCAAGGCACCCTCGTACCTCCTTACCTCCTACCTCCCTAACAGCACGACTTCACACTCTAGGGGTGGTGCCCGAAATGGAGCTCCTCTGATGGTATATTACGGAGTAAGGCAAAGACATAGTGAACGGTAGCAGGGCCGTAACATGCGTGGGACGTGTCGAACGAGTTGCTTTCTTATGGCATGGATGCATGGCCTGCCCTGCTCATCCAACTCAGACTATGCCTTCTGAGTGGGCCGCTTCGAAAAGATTGAATGTAAAAACAGGCCCAGGGACGACGTACAATGTAACGCTGGGGAAGGATGAACTTGGAGTGTCACAATCGAGGAAGCGAAGCTCAGCACTGATGTTTGTTACGTAGAACTTACTAGCATTCGGACTCTTAGCATCGCTACTTGGCGCATCGCCAGTACGCCTCGGAAAGAAGCACCGAAGGAAGGCACGACGGCGCTTGTCCTCTGTTCTGCCGTGGCCTCAGTAGTGAGATGATGTAATTGATCGAGTAATCCAAATGTTCCCTGGCCCTAACCTAGCGATATCATAGTAGTGTTGTATTTGTAGTCATCTTAGTTTCCCTGGGGAGGAACACTAACTAACTATCAGTAGTTCATTGATGAGATTCCATGGTAAATCATGTTGAACAGACTGCGTTGTCGTGGCGACTACCGTTTCTAGAGAATATATGAAGGCTAGGTGTGTAATTAGTCGCCCCGAACGATGCATCAAGCTTGTTATGTGGCTCTCCGCACCCTGAAGAGCGCAGCTAGACATTCTTCTTCATCGCAGTGCAAAGAAGGAAATGAGAGAAGTACCGCTGATGCGTGTAATGATGTTCTGAGCTCGCTGCATATCATTGCCTATAAAGGCATGCCATAGGCCAAGCTACTACTTAGTTAATCGTCTAGTTAAAGTTAAGAAGCCTCATCATATGCCGAGGACGAGTACGTTCGTCAGATTTGATCAGCGGATCTTTGATCACTGGCGGGCGCTGCATAGTAGTGCGTTGGGCCAGACCTGGTAGAAAAGCAAACAATTTTTGGGTATGCATTATAATCCGCCTCTTGTCACTGTTCGGGGACCGAAGGGACCGGCAATTTGTGCATTTAAAGGGCTGCTGTATTCGTAAGAGTGTAAGTATTCGTAGCCGGTCGGTCGGTCAATCAACATGGTCGGATATTAATTTGCGATCGAAATTCAACCCGTAAGCGAGCTTTCATTTTAGCAGCGGGCGTTGCCAAGTTAGTGGTGGGACTGGGGGGCGAGGTCCGAAAGACGGCATGACCGACGCTCGTACGACGCGTTGGACTGGGAAAAGCCGCAAGTAGAATTATCGTGATGAACAATGGCGTAAAGGTGATTTAGCTTTTGCGAGGCAGTGCGTGTTTTTCGACAGCGGGCGCGGCTCGAGCTGCGGACACGAAAAGCCCTTCTTGTCAACGGGGCTTTATTGAACCAAATGGCACGAGAGACACAAGAGAGAAGCTCTCAGTGGACTAGACAACTTGGCCCTGAAGAGGGCATGGCATCCTCTGTGGGGATCGATGAATAATAGAGGAACTGCGGGCGGTTTAGAGGGAGTTTTACAGTCATCCGAAAATGTCGTGCAACTAGTTGAGGATAGCTCTGGATTGTTTTGGGGTGTATTTGCGAGTGACGTGTTGATATTGACTCGCCACTGTAGTGCCTACTCTACCTAGGTACCTAGGCTGCTAGGTACCTAGGTAGTGGCGGCGGCGGGCGGGCAA